AAATTAATCCAGGATTTTATGTCTAGTTAGTACTTTTCTTATCTACTATATTTGTAGTAGATTTACTCTCCCTATTCCTTGCATCCATTCTTATATAGTCTCCTATTCGTAATTTCTTACATGAAATATTGTACTATTAGAGAGAGGTAAGGGCTTGATTTTTTTTCCCCTTAAACTTTTTATATAGGGACAATCAAACTGGTCAGATCTGTAGAGAAGTGCCTCACCATTGCCCATGTGGTATAGCCTCATTTTGTTTAGGCAGAATTATAAGATGTATGTGTGAATTTGTTATACCAGTGTGTATACTAAATAAGGATGGGTTAATCTTGGCCTGCATTTGTGAACTCCACAGTGGGGACATCATTGGGAGGGAGGGCTAGTATTAGAGGAGACAAGAAAGAAGCAGGGGTTATTAGTAAGGGGCAAAAGGAACCTTTTAGAGCAGGTATTCTTAACTTGAGGTCTGTGAGCTTGGGTTTTTTAAAAAAAAAAATTTGGATAACTATATTTTAATATCATTGATTTCCTTTATAATCCTGTGTATTTTGTTTTATGAATTTAAGAACATTATTTTGAGGAGATCCATTGGTTTTACCAGTCTGCTAAAGAGATTCAAATAAGTGAAGAACCCTTTATAAGTAACTTCCCTTTTCTATGCTTTAGTCTTCTCATCTGTAAAATCAGGTGGTTGGTTGGCAAGTCAGCTAAATTTCAGTTTAGTTCCAGTTCAATGAATGTGCAAGACAGCCCCTTCTCCCTGGAGAATGCATTCAATGAAGGATGTAGATAAATTATTACAAAGCATTTTGAGAGCAGAGAGAGGGAGAAGGAGAAGGAAAAGGAGATATGTGGGAGGTGGGAAAATCACATGTATTCTAACAAACATTTAGAATAGTCTGAGCCAGAGGTGATGAGTGCTTGAACTCAGATGATAGATATACAAGTGGAGACGAAATAGGCATGAGATGTGGAGGTAGAATTCTCATGCCTTGAGGTGACTAGAAGAATGATGATGCTCTTAAAAGAAATATAAAATGTTAGAGGGGAATATAATAAATCCCTTTTTTAACATATTGATTTTGAGATAGTATTCATCTAGCAATTGGTGATACAAAATTAGGAGTTTGAGGTAGAGATTAAGTTTGAATATATAGGTTTGGGAGTCATCTCAATATAGATGATACACAAACCCACAGGATCAAATGAGGTCACCAAGGAAGAATTTTAGAGAGAAGTAACAGCCAAGAGCAGAGCTTTGAGAGTTAAACTGAGAGAAGAGAATGGGGAACCAAGGACAGAAAATGAGTGAGATAATACAAGAACTGGGACATAGCAGTGTCATGAGCCAAGGGAGCAAAAAGTCTGCAGAAGGAGGTGTTTCTCAGTGTTGAAAGCCAAGAAAAGGCCATTGCATTTCTCAATTAGGAGATCACTCGCAACCTTTGAAAAAGCATTTAATGATGGATTCAGAAGCCAAAACTCTCAGGTGATTAAAGGTAATGGGTAGTGAGGTAGTGGAGGCAGTTCAGCAGTAAAAGTAGGAGGGCATTGTCAGTTCTTAGTGTTGTTTCTCGTTATAATGTCATAAAGCCAATTCTTGAGTGCCCCTGCAAATGAAAAGAAACACCATTGTGGAAATAGTCAAAATAGTTGATGACCACTACCCCCAAAATATGTATATTTAATTATTTTTTTCCATTTCTTATTAACTCCTTAGGGCAGTTACTCCCATGTTGTGGGCTTTGGACCTCTGGAGAGCTGTGAACTTTTGCAAAAAGGGTTCCTGAATCCATAAGCAAAAATATCTTCTGTAGATAGAATATGTAATATATTGTTTTTTAAATGTAGGTAGGGGCAGCTAGGTGGCACAGTGTATAGAGCACCGGCCCTGAACTCAGGAGGACCTGAGTTCAAATCCGGCCTCAGACCAAACACTTGACACTTACTAGCTGTGTGACCCTGGGCAAGTCACTTAAGCCCAATTGCCTAAAAAAATAAATAAATAAATAAATGTAGGTAGATGCTGTTGTGATGAATAAACTATAGAAATTAATTTTAAAGCATTATCAAAATCACAATAACCTCCTGTGGGTTACTACTCACTAATATTGACTTCTGTTGGGAGGGTTCACAAAACTTTTTCCATTTAAAGGACATAGCCAAAAAGTTCTAGGAAATTGTCCTAGAATAACCTTTGTTTCACTTTAAATAGATGACTATATAGCAAATGTAAGATCCTTCAGTGCAGGGACTATTTTGTTTTTATCTTTGTTTCCAAAGTTCCTAGCTTACGATAGGAATTTAATAAATGCTTGTTGGTTGACTTTGCTGCTTTAATAGCCTCAGTAGTCTTATTAAAGCAGCATAGTCAATCATCCTTGCAGTTGAATAGGAAGAAATATTATTTTCAATGCTAACTTGTACTCTACAGCTTTTCCTACTTGTTTCTCTCTTTGCTGTCTCAATGTCCCCTCGTTCTCTGGTATCATTCTACTTCACTACTCCCACTGTCGTAGTCCAAGGATCTGTTTCCTGCCACCTAGATTTTTACAGTTGCCTCCCAAGTAGCCTACAGTCCATCCTAAACATATTTACCAGGCTAATTCTCTCCCATTCATTAGAAATAAGGTAATTTCAACTAATGAGCCAATGTTGAGGGGAAGATGAATCAGTGATTCTGTGATAATGTTGAGTTAAGTATTTTGAACAAGAGTCAAATAAGGTAACTTTTAAGATCTCTTCCATCGCTTTAAGATTCTGTAACTGTGTAATACGCATGACCCATTGTATGAGATGAAGTCTAATAAACTCCTTATTTTGGTGTTCAAAGATTTCCACAATCTGAATTCAACCAACCTTCAAAAATTCATTTCCTACCATCTTATTCACATTCCATGAATCATCCCAATAAAACTGATCTATTTACTGCCCTGTGAATATACCTAGTACATTCCTTCCCCTTCTCCTTTTTCAAGACCATTCTGCTTATTTGTCAGAAGAACACGATACTCTGTTTCCTTACTCTAGGCATTTTCACTGGCTGTCTCTTATGCTTGGAATGCATTCCCTCCTCTTCTCCATCGCCTGGCTTTCCTGGCTTCCTTCAGGTCCCAGCTAAAATTACACTTTCTACAGAAAACCTTCCTCAGTCCCTCTTAATTCCAATACCTTCTTCTATTGATTATTTCCTATTTACCCATATATAGCTTGTTTGTACATATTCATTTGCTTGTTGTCTCCCCCAATAGAGTTTTGACTCTTCAAGGGCAGGGACTGCCTTTTACCTTTCTTTGTATCTTTAGCGCTTAGAACAGTACCCAGCACATAGTAGATGCTTAATTAATGTTTATTGACTGACTGACTGACTCTGTGAAGGATTTCCTAACCATCCTGTAGTAATTTCCTAACCAGCCTGTAGTAATTTCTCTCATTGCACTTCTTTAACATTTGTTTGGCATTTACTGCCATTATTATTATTAAAGAGGAAGTATAATTAATTTAATTGGCAGGAGTTTTAGATTTGGAATAAATAAAGGCTTGGCCTCAAATTTACCCTCTGACACTTACTAATTATATGACCATGAGCAGGTCACTTCTATTTCAGAGGGCTATTATAAGGATCAAGTGGAATAATAACATATAGAACAAAACTTAAAGTGCCATATAAATGTCAGCTAGTGCTACCATTTGTTCTTTTGTGTATTTTCTAGCCTCTCCCACCATATTTTGAGCTTTTTTAAGTCAAGGACTGAGTTTTAGACATTTTTTTTCCTGTGACAAAGGCTTGACAGTGCTATGATGAGAACAGTTTGTTTAGTAAATAGTGTGTTTATTGAATAAAATAGAATTAAGTTCCGTGACATGAGTGTGGGAGTTAACTGCTATTGTCATACTCTGTTTTTTATTTAGGTTGTGCACTTAAAAGTAAAAATTAACCTCCTTAACAATCTTGTAGCAGATGAATCCTTAGGAAACCAAAGTTCATTTTCTAACCAAGTATTTTCAGTTTCTAAGTATTTTCAGTTAAATACAAGGAAGGCACTAGTTTGAGGCATTGAAAGGAAAATTTATTATAGATATGTCTTGTTTTGTTTTGGTTTTTGGCTAGGCATTGGGGTTAAGTGACTTGCCCAGGGTCACACAGCTAGTAAGTATTATGTGTCTGAGGCCAGATTTGAACTCAGGTCCTCCTGAATTCAGGGCCAGTGCTCTATCCATGCGCCGCCTAGCTGCCCCTATAGATATGTCTTAGCGAAATGTAATCTGGAATTTAAGCTTTTTCTCCAAAGCTCGTTTTAATCAATGGATTAAAAACATTCTGGCTTTTCACTTTCAGATTGAGAAGCAAAACTGAAAATAAGGAATATTAGAAACATTTTAAGAAATTCATATTTTTAAAGTCTTAATTAAAAATATAATTGTTGGCAGGTCAAATTAGTTTATCCCTTCAGTGTTTTCAAAAAGAAATTTGTTATACTAGCAGTCACTAGTGTGGTTTACGAAGAAAGTATGCATGTACATGCACATTTGTAATCAGTAAGTCAAGGAAACTAAATGTGGCATACTTCCAATTTTGTCTTTCCAACTGTAGTTGGCAAAGATGTATGTCAGTCTTCTAATTTCTTGTAAAACAGAGTGAGACTGCATTTATTAAAGGTTCTTAACCTTTTTTTGTGTCATGGACCATTTTGGCCATCTAATGAAGCCTATAAAATCCCTCTCAGAATAAAGTTTTTAAGCATATGAAACAAAATGCATAGGATTGCAAAGTGAACCACTTACTTAGAAATGTGATTATCAAAATGTTTTTTAAAACAAGTTCATGAACCCTTGGTTACACTCCAATTTATATGAATGAAGTTTATAGAAAAGACTTTTTTTTCCCATTTAAAAACAGAAAACATTATCTTCCTAAGTTAGTGAATTTAAAAGATTGATGTGGAGAGTCCATTATGTGACCATGTTTTGTTTTAAACTTTCTTGTCATGATTTATTAGGTGAGAAACCATTTCGCTGTGATGAATGTGGTATGAGATTCATACAGAAATATCACATGGAAAGGCATAAGAGAACACATAGTGGAGAAAAACCATACCAGTGTGAATACTGTTTACAGGTAAGATACTAGTTTGAAATTATTTTCTCTCCTAAATAGTTAAACTAATAAATTAAAAAATGTAATTGATCATGCATGAAAACAATTTGAATGGTGTTTATAATTGGGTCTGCAATGGAAAAATAAAATGTTTAGGAGTTAATTACTTATATTCTTATACTTACCTAAGCTATTATATTTATTTAGACTTTTTTCTTCTTTTTTCCCTTTCAAAAAAAATCATCACTACCTACCCAACTCAACAGTATTTTTCCCGGACAGACCGCGTATTAAAACATAAACGTATGTGCCATGAAAACCGTGACAAGAAACCAAACAGGAACACCACTAAGGGTGGCCTTTTGACATCTGAGGATGATTCTGGCTTTTCTACACCTCCAAAAGACAGCTCACTGCCAAAAAAGAAAAGGCAGAAAACAGAGAAAAAATCTTCTGGAATGGACAAAGACAGTATGATGGACAAGTGTGACCAGAAAAAAGATAAGAATGATTATTTGCCTCTCTATTCCTCAAGCACTAAAGTAAAAGATGAATATATGGTGGCAGAATATGCTGTTGAAATGCCCCATTCTTCAGTTGGAGGGTCACATTTAGATGATGCTGCTGCAGGAGAAATACACCCACCTAAGTTGGTTCTCAAAAAAGTTAACAGTAAAAGAAGTCTAAAACAGCCACTAGAGCAAAGTCAAACAATTTCACCTTTATCCACATATGAAGATAGCAAAGTTTCAAAGTATGCCTTTGACCTTGTGGATAAACAAGCCTTACTAGACTCAGAAGGCAATCCTGACATTGACCAGGTTGATACCTTACAAGAGGGGCCCAGCAAACCTGTCCATAGTAGCACTAATTATGATGATGCAATGCAGTTTTTGAAGAAAAAGAGATACCTGCAAGCAAGTAGTAATAACAGTAGAGAGTATGCACTGAATGTGGGTACTATAGCCTCTCAACCGTCTGTAACGCAAGCAGCTGTGGCAAGTGTCATTGATGAAAGCACCACAGCATCCATATTGGATTCACAGGCACTAAATGTGGAGATTAAGAGTAATCATGACAAAAATGTTATTCCAGATGAGGTACTGCAGACTTTGTTAGACCATTATTCCCACAAAGCTAATGGACAGCATGAGATATCATTCAATGTGGCCGACACTGAGGTGACATCTAGCATATCGATTAATTCTTCAGAAGTACCTGAGGTCACCCAGCCAGAGAGCGTTGGAACAAGCTCCCAAGCATCCTCATCAGATAAAGCCAGTATGTTGCAGGAATATTCAAAATTTCTGCAGCAGGCTTTGGACAGAACTAGCCAAAACGATGCCTATTTGAACAACCCGAGCCTTAACTTTGTGACTGATAACCAGACCCTTGCAAGTCAGCCAGCATTTTCTTCCATAGACAAGCAAGTCTACGCAGCCATGCCCATCAATAGCTTTCGATCAGGAATGAATTCTCCACTAAGAACAACTCCAGACAAGTCTCACTTTGGACTAATAGTTGGTGATTCCCAGCATTCATTTCCCTTTTCAGGTGATGAGGCAAACCATGCTTCTGCTACATCAACACAAGACTTTTTGGATCAAGTGACTTCTCAGAAGAAGGCTGAGGCACAGCCTGTCCACCAAGCTTACCAAATGAGCTCCTTTGAACAGCCCTTCCGACCTCAATACCATGGAACAAGAGCTGGAATGGCTTCCCAATTTAGCACTGCCAATGGACAAGTGAACCTACGGGGACCAGGGACAAGTGCTGAATTCCCAGAATTTCCTTTGGTGAATGTAAATGATAATAGAGCTGGGATGACATCTTCACCTGATGCCACAACTGGCCAGACTTTTGGCTAATTAAAAAAATGTAAATAATATTGGCACTTTAGAACAGATTAATCAAGAGTGGGTTTGCTCTGTAAAAGATGGAGTGCTGTACAGACTTAAGAGCAATGTGTTATAACAAAAGTAAGCTGATATGAATAGCAAGATAATCCAATAACTGAATTTTTTTTTCTTTTTGGTTAGTCATCATTCATTGAACTGCCTTACATGTTGCCACCTTTATAGAAGCAATGTATTACTTATTTTAGACCAGAAACTTGCTATTCTACCTACACCAAGTTTAAAAAAGAAAACAAAACAACAGCAACAAAAATAAGACTTTCGCACAATTGTTTCCTGATATCATTGTACATTCTTGGGAAATGAGTAATTGTGTGAAATTTACGCATACTGTTTATAAGTTTTTCAGCATAGACATTGCACTTCAGCAGGGAATCTTAATATACTTTGCAGACAGAGTGAACTTAAAAGTTTAAATGTCAAGAGATTATGGCTTAAAATTAATGTATTCTATAGGAAAAAAGAAATCTTCCAACTTTGAAAAAAAAAAAAAAAGAACAATATGCCATATACCCTTGATTTTCATTTTGCATTATATTGAGCTGTGTTTTCTGAGGGGGAAATAGTAATAAAAATCTGATAGTCTAAGACTCCACTATTTAAAAGCCTAATTACTTAAAAATATGCATACTTTCAACACATTTACCAAAATACACAACTGCTGAAGCATTTACTTCCAGACTGAAGTATGCATATTGGTGTCAGTTTCTTTGTACAGTTGTACCTAGATATTTTTTATGATTTTTTTTTCATGTGCAGGTATCAAGGTTTTGAGGTTTTAGTCAAAGTATTCTGTAGATTACATTCCCAAGAACATAATGCTTTCACAGACTGTATATTCCAAGTTTTGAAGCTTAATTGTATTTTACTTTACATATACACTTTCACTTAACATAGAGCACTTAGAATCTATTTGATATTTTTGATTTCTCAAAGTAAAAATTTTAGATTTTTAGGTTTGATATGGTTGTGTCTTAATCATCTCATAAATGACAGTTTTAATTTTTGGCAATAAAAGGAAATTGGGATGTCTCCGGATTTGTAAAAAACTGGTTTAATTTTTCCCTTTCTAGATTCTTGGTAGATCAGATAATTAAACAGTATACAGAGAAAATAAAGAACTGGGCATTTTAATTGCATATTTTACCTTCAACAACTTCTTGATGAACACTGTTCATTATAGTTTTACAAACCAAAAGTGTTTACTAACCCTAGTAACTACAATTTCATTTTCAGCCTAGTTGAGTATCGGAAGCATTTTGTTGCATTTCTAAACATAAATAAACTACAGACTTTATCCTCATACCATGAATCTTTTTTTTTTTCTGAAAAGGCATGATTTGAGTAACATGTTGGGTAGTTTTTAATTTTTTGCATTGTATAACTTCAGTGATTATTTAATTCTGGCGTCCCCTTCCAAACTTTTTTCCTCCAACTTTTTGGTTTGCTTGCTAAAATTCTCCATCTTTGTCGAACTAATGTACACACCAGTATAAGTACCAGTAGTAACCTTGGAAGCTGACACTTCTTTATAACATGGCTTTCCCAACCTAAACTTTAGTGGCCCTACAAATTTGTGCACCTTGACATACTGTTTCCCACATAAATGATTTAACTTTTTTTTGGTTAGCTCTTAGCTATTCTCATGCGGAAAGGGAGCAAGCAATATTTGCATTTACTACATTTCATATTTGTGTTTAAACATATTGGTATCTTAAAATAAGGACCATCAGTTCAAAGGATTCTGCCAACTATTTTTCATGTGATTTCCTCCATACTTTCTTCATTACTCTGTAACTTTGAAATTTTCTATATTTCCATTTGGCAGTTTTTTTTCCCTGCCAAATTTTGGAAAGAGGTAGACTCTTTAGAAGCAGAGATTCAGTCCTGCCGTTATTGACTCAGCCATTCATCATCTTAAACTGGGTGTGTTAAGTGTCACATGGTTGTAAGAAGGCTTCTTTTAGATGAGATCTTAAAAACTTGGGGCTATGTCCATTCTGGATGGACATTAAATATTCCACAGCACTTTTTAATAAGGTTAGGGATTTGTAGCCTTGGTCAGAATTTTTTTCATCTGGACTGAAATTTTTCTTCAGCTGAATGCCTGGTTTAATACTAAGGTACAGCATTAGTTTGGGGAGGGGGGTATTTTTTTTTTTTAACATCATGGCTTTTACCAGAATACTTCTATGAATATAACTCAACAACCACTGAGCAATTATAGTAAGCTAAGAGGAGGCCTTTGATAGATAAGTATATTATGCAAGTAAAACTTAAGTTGTTGCATTCCTGTTTTAAAAATAGCCATAGTTCTTTAAATCCAGATACAGGCTTTCCCTAAGAGGTTATACTATAAATTGTTGACTAATCCTTTAAGTATTTAGTCTTTTGCTGTCTTAGTTTAAGTATGGAGCCCAAGTCAAAAGTTACCTTGTATTGTCACCATAATTATATCTGTTCTTTGGGTTTTGTCCCTTTTGTTCACAAAATTATTTGGCAAATATCAGTGCATAGGTAGAATGGAAGCTTCATGCCGTACCCTGGGCTAGAATGTCAGGGGTTTGGGATTGTCTTGTGAAGCTCCTGTTTCCTTTCAGCCTTCCCTGTAGAAAAATTGTGTATACAAACATGCCCCTATATGTTTATGCTTTTGTTTGATTAGCCCTGAGATATACTTTTGCACTTCTGCTACATTCTAGCACTATACCTTTGAGGATGAGAATCAGGTCAGCATTCACCTTAGACAAAACAGTAACTGTTAAATAGCTTATAATGAGTTAATTTTGCCTAAAATTCTCCACAACACACAGACATTCGGTTTGGTTTTGGAGTATTTGAGTGACTGTTATGAATCTTCGGGTATCTATATGCAAAATGTCTACTGGGTATATTAACACATTACTGCTAGAAATAATACTCTTGAGTATTTGCCAAGGATTCTCAGGAGGCAGGAAGATCTAACTATTTGAGAGGCAGAAAGCACCTTGTTCTAGGGATACTTTTATTTTCGTTAGACTAGAGGAGAGAACTTCTGAAATGTTAGATTGGCCTAATAAAACTTCTTATTTTCTTCATTTGGGTTTTAAAAGGGCTGTTCACTAGAAGCCGGGCAACTCTAACAGTTCATGTTACTATAGTCCACGTTTCTTAGGCATTTAGCTAGAATTCGCCTTTTCGCAGAGCATTTCCTGAGGAAGCACCATTACAGTCAATGAAAAATGTTTTTGAGATCTCCAATTTAATTTAAACTTTTTCAGTTTCAATTTGATTTATTTCAGGGAAAGAATTTTCCTGTTTCTTTTGCTATACACTGCAAATAAAAACCTTATGTTTCCCTTTTTCACTTAACTTTTGGTAGGAAAGAAACTGAAGCAGACAAACATTTCTTAGTTGTGTTTGTTGCTTTCTGTAATCCAGTGGATGGAAAGGTAAAACCCTATAAACGTTATTTTATTTTTTTATGCAATACCATGCTGTAAATATGGTTTATCAATTAAGGATGTACCTATGATTGAATCTTTAATTCTGCACAGTTAGAGTTTATATATAAATGTGTCTTGACAATCAAGGACTTTTATGTGAGTCTTCCTTTATGATGTTTATTAATGTTATGCATTCCATTTGTTTAAAGTGAGTACCAATGTGCTAATTTGTATTGTCTGAAAGTATGTAATGTTTTTACAGCTTGTTTTTAAAAATCTGTAAATATGTACAAACAAATCACAGTACTGCTTTATGTTAGAAGGCATATGATGTTGTACTGTATGTAAGCAATAATCCATAGCAGTGCTAACTTTACAAGTAGCATCAGAATAGTTCTAAAAACTGTTTTTGGAGTTCATAATTATTCTTATTTCAGTTAATGATGACTAATCTTTAATCAGTTTTTAATAAATAAATTCCATTGTCCTCCTGTTGGAGCATAACATTGTTTACACAGCATAATTTCAGTCGCAGAGGAGACAGGCTTAAATCTGACTTCATCTGTACTCACTTTCAGTAAGCATTGAATGGCCTTACCACTCTTCTGCAAGATGGAGGAAGATCGCAAAACTTAGTAGCCATCACAGTGAAGGAAGGGGTATATCTTTCTGCTTCTGTACTGCTTCCTACCTATTCTTGTGATTTGCTTTGGGAGGTGTTTTTGTTTGTTTATTTTTGTTTTTCATTTTAGATTCAAGTCCATAGGTTCTGAGGTGACTTAAGCCCCATTATAAAAAGAGTAGGTCTCTTGATGTTTCATAAATGGTTACAAAAATCTAAAATTTGTACATTGATTTTTAGATACTTATTTTTCAAGTTTGAGTTCTCAGCTGATGAGGTGAACTTACTCAACTTAAATACAGAAAGACAAACCTATCATAGCTTGAATTGAGTAGATATACTGTACAGAGCAGCATAACTATTTGAACACAGATGTCACTGCTTTAGAAATAAAACCACCAGTTTATAAATGTATATGACCTACGTTTTATAGGAGAAATGTTTTTAAATGCTAGTCATTTATATAATATGTGCTTTGAAGGATTTGCTAGTCCACTTCTGTCACTTTTAGTACACTGGTATCTTTTATATGTAATGTATGCTTTTTATTATTGTGGCAGAGCATTTCAGTAGAAAGAATTTTGCAACAATACGGGGGAACTTTTTCATTGTTGGATTTGAATTATACTGGATTTTATCTGTGTAGTCTTACTTGTCTTTATTTTAATGCTGTCTGGAAGGGAACTTGGTATCCAAATAAAGCAGGTAACCTCATTTTATTTCAAGGGCATACTGTGTAGTGCTGAATTTAATCTGGAAACCTGATGATTTTGAAAAGGAAGAAATTAGTTTATAAAAAATTGTACAGAATAAATTGTGTGTGATGGAAACCCTTGGTAAATAGATAGTAAAATACAGTGAATTTTCTGATATATAGTGTTATTTTCCTGAGATCCATATGCCTTCTTTGTATTTCAGCTAATAAAAGAAGCCCTATCATGAAAACTGGTAGGGTAATAGGTTATTTCAGTGGATATACAGTATTACTTTACTTATGCCATTTTCTTACCCTTTCATTATCATTGTAAAATTTGATTTCCCATTGGTAATTAAGAATGTACATAATATAGATGATTTTGTATAAAACTGAATGAATTGGGTTCGTTTATGACCGAAATGATAGAGTGGGCTCATAATTGCTTGAAACTTCATGAAATTTTTTGAGAGTTCTAGGGGAATGAGGGTAGAGTAGTGTGTATGCTGGGAGTGTGATGGCAAGTTGCCCCACAACCTGCCAGGAATTCAACAAAAGATTTAACACAAACATATTTTAGGTTTCAGATATAAAGCAAGCCTTTTCTTTCAGTACTGCCTAGGAGCATTGAATTCATAATCCACTCAGGTGAAAATTGCTTTGCAATGAAATTTATCAAATTGAAACATATTTGAAAAATAAGAATGTGTGATGTTTTATTGGGGACAAACAAAATATTTCTATAGTTAGTACACTTGGAAAACTGAAATTTGATGACAGATAGATCTGTTTTTAAAGATCATGTTTTCCCCTCCAAACAGAATTGTTTTTGAACAATTTGGAGGTATAGTTTCTATTCCAATTCATTTGACTTGTTATTGTAAAAATGAAGATCTTTGCTTGACCAACATTATGCCATGAACAAATGAATTGTTGAGCCTTTACTATACAGTGGAAGCTTGCTTCATGCATAGTCATGGAACATGGACATGTATTCTTTGAACTGATTTATTCATTAAGTGGCTTAATGGGTTTCACAGCTTCTGGCATTATTGTTTTCATATGGTTAACTTAGCCATTTGGGTTTTATAATACCATTTTCTGTATTGTGATACTAAGGGAAGTTGTGTTTTGCTTTATTTTTAATTGAATTATTAGTCTGATAATTTATATTTGCAAATTATGCATTTTAAATGTGGACACTGGCTGTTTGAAAAATAAAAAAATACAGAATACAGTTTTATGAATAATTTCCTAGCAGTATTTTTCATGATGTAACCAATTAAAAGCATCCTAAAACATAAAATTTATGATAAATGTGCAAAAGTTGTGGCTAATTAGATTAATGAAGCAAAAAGATAACTGTATAGAATGCAGTCATTTTTTTCCACTGAATTAGGACTTAGCAGGATTCTTGACAATAGCTTTGTGTGGAATGTTACTAAATGGTGAAATTGCACTTAACTAGACACTGCAGTGTAAAAATTGAGTACTACCTTCACAGATCATTTTTTTTATTACATACTGCATTATTGATCTACCATTGCTAGAATATGTACCTTATTTCAAGTAGTGAGGATAGATTTATACTCATCTAACCATTGAGTATCACTCAGTTTTCTGTCTTTTCATCAGACACTTTTGCACGTTGATTGTTTAATTGGAACTTGACTAAGTGAACTGACTGGTGTAGGAATCAAACCTATTCCCTTTTCCTCTTTACTGTTATGTTTTAGACAGTTGCACAGAAGAATACAATAGATAGATTGTGTTTGTTCCCCAGAATCCAGTTTTTTCTCGAAATGACAGGAGATGTAGAAAAGAATTTTCTACTAAAACAATCCTTTCTTCAAAAGAGGAAGCAAAGTGGCACAAAATTGAGAAGTGAGAATTAAAATTACATAGCATTTTAATAGTCATAACTATTCCCATGAGAAATCTGTGAGGTTGTAGCACAGGTATTATTTCATTTGACAGATGGAAAAGGAATAGAAAAATAAACACCCCCACCACCACCACCTAATGTCACAAAGCTAGTTCTTAACACAGGCAATCCTAGAGTGGAACTCAAGGCTTCTTTCAGTCTGTGATAGGAATTAGGTTTTTTTTTTACCCAGCTATCATTATTATTTACACAAGTTCAGTGATGAACTTATATTTTTCTACCCTGAATGGGGGCCAACATGCTGTTAGACATAATGCTGCCAATTTCAGGGAGCCCAGAGTGCCAGAGTTTGTATTTTTCATTGAATTAAATTCTTACTTGACTATATACTTGTTCTTTGAGTCCCTGGTCTTATGGTTCTTTATACATTTTAATTAGTATGGGCTATTAAACTTTCCTAATTAGATTCGTGGAATGTTAGAACTGGAAAGGAGATTATTTAGCCCTATATTCATCTAAATTTCTTCATTTTTATAGCTATGGAAGCTAAGGCCCAGATAAATAAATTGACTTTAACCTAAGATCCCACAGCCACTAACTGTCCAGGACTTAAAATTTTATTGACTCTAGACAGTTATATAAATCAAAGATATGTCTTGATACAAATAATACCAGAAAAATCTATAATAATTACAAATGATGAAGCTTAATCCTCTTTCATGGTCTGATTTATAAAATAACATCAACGTTGTTTCTTTTGTTATTTTGGTCTAGATTAATAATAACTTAAGACTACTCTAAAACCCTAAAAGTTTTGAAAAGAAACTGAAAATGAGAAGGATGATGGTGTGTTTTCTTTGAATAAGGCACCTGTGTGTGTGCAATGACTGCTGCCCAGGTGTGGCTGAGGGCCTAAAGCCACTGGACTTAAGAGTTTCATTCTGTCGCTGCTGGGTCAGATTCAGTCCTATTCACACTAACCATTGTCCTACAGTTTTTCAGAAGATTCACCAGTTATACGACTGTATAACAGCACAATTTCACAGAGATTTTTCCATGCCCTCACCATTCCCCCATTCCATGATATTTGTGGCAAGAGGATGGCAGAAGGAAAATAGGATCCCTGTACTGACGAAGGTAAGTAAATCCCAACCCTTCTCCATTCCTTCTAAATTGATAGCCAAATCAAGTGAGTTTACTAAGTTTGTCTTTGCCTTCACTTCCTTTTTGGACCAGCTCTTCATTTTCTTTTTTAAAAATTCTGAACTTAAAATATGCCAAAAAAAGAGTCTTTCCACACATACATGGCAGAGACAAGAGGATTTTATATGAAACCATGAATCTCATGGTTCATACCACATTTTTTAAATATACAATTCTACACATTACTTTCAAAACTGTCCTGCCCTCTGTCCTTCCTTTTGAATTTCAGTTATGTGCATTTTAAAGACAAAGGTGTTAAAATCGGCCAGCCATGGATCTAGCAAGTCTTTTTTTTATTTTTGTGAGGCTGTCGGGGTTAAGTGACTTGCCCAGGGTCACATAGCTAGTATCACGTGTCTAAGGCTGGATTTGAACCCAGGTCCTCCTGACTCCAGGGCTGGTGCTCTATCCACTATGCCATCTAGCTGCTTTGCAAGTCTTACTAGTCATGCTTTTTTCCTTTTTTTAAAAAAATAATATATTTTGTTAAGTATTTTCTAATTACATTTATTTTTAAAAATTAACATTCTTTTTTTGAAATTTTGAATTCCAAATTCTCTCCCTCCTGCCCTTCCCCTGTCCCTTGAGATAGCAAATAGTATATCAATTATGAAGTCATATAAAACATTTACATATTAGCCCTATTGCAAAAGAAAACGCAAAAAACAAGAAAAACATTTACATATTCTTTACTGGATGTTCAGTGCCTGCTGGGAGTATAATATAGGCCTTTCAACACTGGCAGCAGTTTTTCAAATCCAAGGGATCTATTTGGTGTACCTTCATCACTCTCTCCTTACCATAGGAGTTTTTGTTGGAGTGTAGTGAAGAGAGTGCTCATCCTGGAGTTAGAAGAGATTTGGGTTCAAATCCAGTCTTTGACATATGCTAGCTATGTGACCACAGGCAAATAGATTTACCTTTCTGTGACTAAATTTCCTCATTCTTAAAACAATTATGATGACTAGTCCCTACCTCACAGTGTTGCCTTAATGGAGATAATGTTGCCAAGGAGAAAATGTAGGATAGAGCCCTTTACAGACCTTGTAGTGCTATATAAACTGTCAGCTGTGATGGTGATGACTACTTACATCATAGACTATTAAGTGTGGGCTTATGATCTGCATACTTGGTGCTCTTCTAATCCTGTCCCAGTTCTGAAATATTTCTTAAGAAGATTTTGCTCACTGATTGTAGATGCTATAAGTGAATTTCCTTTTATATGCTTAGAATGGTTTCTAAGGTAGAGAAATAAAAATACACTACCATATGGTTTATCATATGAATGTTTATGGTGGGAGGGACCTGTTTCAGCAAAGTTTTTTCCTCTTTTGTTTTCTAGTGATCCCTTGGTCAGCTAATTTCTTGGAATACCTTCAACCAATCAACATCCATTTACTTAGCAGCTAAATGTGCCACGTAGTAGGATATAAAGACAGAAATGAAATAGTCCCTCTCTCAAGTACCTTAACCTTCTCTGTCATATAGCCTCTCAATTGCAGAGGGCCTCATAGGAGTAGGAAGATTGGATTTTCCACTTAAAATGTGAAGGAATCCTTCCCTGGAATGTTTGATTGGACATCTCAAGTTTAAAGTAATGTCCCTGAATGCACAAGGTACATTTTGCATAAGTAGATGAGAAACAACATGTAGCTCTGGGAGATACACATTTGGAGTTTTTGGTGTGTTTTTGAGAAAAAATGTAATCTTTACCTGATCCTAACCAAGTTTCCTTTTCCAGATTCAAACTCCATTGCACTAGGGTCCTTGTAGGTAACCAGAAGAAATACTGGCACAGAATCAGAGAATTTCAGAATTGAAGGAAACTTCAGTGGATATAGTTGAACCCATTTCCGAAAAAGATCTTCTTTACACAATACCAAAAAAAAGTGGTCTTTCAAACTGTATTTGAATGCTCTCCAATAAGAGGGAATCTATCATCCCTGGAGGCAGTCCATTCCACTTTTGGATAGCCCTAAAAGGAAGTTTTTCCTTCTATCAATGCTAATTTGTCTCTTTGCAACTTTTACCTGTTGCTTCTAGTTTTCTGTTTTCTGGGACCAAACGAACAAGTCTTAATTCCTTTTC